AAAAAAAAAAAAAAAAAAAAAAAAAAAAAAAAAAACCGTCTGTCCGAAATTCATCCTCAATCTACGAAAATGCAGGATAGCCGTAATTCTGATGTAAAAAGGGGCATTTCTTGTATGAAATATATATTCTAATGCATAATCAAACACACTAAAGTTCAAAATTCCCTAATGGATTTTGTTATGAAAAAAAAAAAAAAACCACAAATGTAATACACTAACCAGCTAGTCCAATACAACAAGCCTAAAACTTAAATATAACTAAGCTAAAAAAAATTAACTAAAACTAAAACACTGAAGTGCACTACTCACCACTATCCTACCTTATATTCACAAGTCTCGTTTGCCACAATTCCATCTGGTGGTCCTATCTGCTTCTGCCTTCTCATTTCGATCACCTTCCTGTGAGAATTCGAGTGTAAGGTGTTTGAGAATGTTGGACTACTTGCAGGTCGATATTCGGGCAGGAGGCGACCGGACTTGTATCGCACCCCACAAGCATTGCAAAGTGTCTTTGGCCCCATGGGGCCAGCTCGCCACTGTGGCGTCTTGTCAGCTCGGCAATGCAAGCACCGCCTCCCCATACCAGCTCCATTCTTTATCATCACTAGTGATGGTTGCAATGAAAATGATTCTTGCTTTTTCTTCTCGACCTTAATTTCGTTCAACCACAAACATTGCTGGCTGGGAAACTCGCCGAAGCCAGCTCTTTTTCTTTGTCTCTTACTACGGGCACGACCTAGGTTGTTACCTGGGAATTTAAAGCTGCCACACCAGCTCGCAACGGTGCTGCCATTCGAATTGCTATTGCTATTGCTATTGATGCTACTGCTGCTGCTTTCAAGAACTGATACCGGGCTCTCTCGGTTCAACATAAGTTCCGGATTGTCCGACAAAATGCCAAAGCATGTTTCCACGGATGGGAACGCGTCCATGTTGGATAGCCATTCCAAATCTTCCTCCACAAATTCCTGAAATCAGTTAAACTTAAAACAATTCTTTATTTTGAAAGCATCTCTTACCAGTGACTCATCATGACACGTCCATACCGTTAAGTCGACATTGTTGAAATAATTTCAAATTATGACCCATAAAGAAAACATTATTATGGCATCCAAAATTTCAATAATTGAAAGAATAAATTCTTGAATAATGGGGTGCCATGTTGGATGTTACCTACAGTAAGTCCTAAACAAGTAGACAAATTGAGAGAATAATTTATTTAGTAGGGATAAAATTGTAATTGCACCAAAGGAAAAATGCACTATTTTTGTCAACATATTACAATGTTTGAAAGGGACTTTAGCATTTATTTTTACAGCTCAAATTAATCAATGCTCCAACAACAGTAAAGTTGGGTCCAAAATAATCAGAATTCCAAAAATACCCACGTCAAATTATAATGATATCACGAAAATACCCTTGTGTATTTTACAAATTTCCCACCACATTTAGGGTTCAAAAGGACAATTTTGTCATTTAATCCACAGAAATTACAGTAATGTGATATACCGGCCGGCATTTTTGACTCGAATGTCTCAATTCATTTCGATGCTTAGCCGACCCGGAAACCGACTCGTCAAACTCGTTCGAGTCGAGACAAAAAACCACAGAGTCAAAACCGAGTTTGGGGCCCCAAAATCATAAAACCGACCAAACTCTCCCGAGTCACGTCCAACTCGGAGGTTCTACGCCGGCCGGGCCTCGAATGAAGAACACCGTTTAAGAGTAACGTAAAAGCACGATTACATGACTTACAGGAAGCGAAGCGTTTTGAGTTTCGGTTCGAGAAATTGTTGTCGACGGGTTCGTGGATTGAGAAGAAGAAAAATGGCCCTTCAAATTGAAAGTCGGTTTCAGTTCTTCCTCTTCCCCTTCCAAAGTGAAGTTCAAAAGGTCATCTTCCACCATGAGACTCGCCTCTGTTGGGTTCAAAATCTCCATTTCTCTGAAAAACTTTTGCTTCCTTTAGGTTTCAGTTTGGTTTATGGAGAGAGAAGAAGTTTGGTACAGAAAGAGAAATTATAATTGAAGTAATTGATTCAACAAATGGGTGTGGATTTTTTGGTGTATTTTGGTAGAATTTCAATTTCAATTTCCTTTTTTGTACGTTTAGCCGAGGAGTTATATTCTGTTTGCTAGTGCGTGAATTTCTCATCTGTACCCAGTCTAATATTTATTTCATAATTTCGTATTGGGTAATATTTCTTTAAAAGTCCCTAATTTTTCATAAGTGCGACATTCACATCTCCAAACTTTTTAACATTGTACATAGTGTCCTCATTAAACAAAAAGTGTATATTTTGATGTTAAATGATCAAGCGACTCGATCGGGATTCTCGACTAAAAGGGTATAATTGTTTAAAAAGCAACATTTCATGTAAGTTGAATAATCATTGTCTAATTTTTAGGTTTCAATTTTTCGGACAATTTTACTCTTTTGGTATATCATGTGCATGTCTATGGTCATTTAACGTTCAAATAGATGTTTTCCGTTATGTTGGGGATATAACTAGCATGGATTTAAAAGTTGTGACACAATTGCTAAAGTAAAAGGTTTTGAATATGACTGCCATACGTATAAAAAA